AAAAAAAAAAAAAAAAAAAAAAAAAAAAAACCCTAAAATGTCTTTGCAATAAAAAGAAAATACCTCAAATTTAAGAGTACCAAAAGCGCTTTTATCATCGTATCTGGATGAGAAAGCAATAGCTATAACATGCTATTTTGAAAGTGAGAGATAAGACATTTACAGTCACAGCCATAAACAAAAACAGAAAACAATAATGGCATAACAGAGTAACAAAAAAAAAACAGGTGGAGAAAATGAAGAGATTTGTTATAGTTAAAAAAATTTACAAATGGCCAAAAATTATATTAAAATATGCTTGACACCACTAAGAAAAATATGTAAGTTATCAAGATAGTACTATTTTTTATTCATCAGACTGGTAATATTTACAAATGCCCGTAATGTCCACTTTTGACATGGCTGTGGAGAGTATAATCTCTAGGCTTTAGTGAATCATCCCTCATTGCAAGATACTACACTCAATACTTTACATATGTTATTTCCTTTATTCCCTACCATTTCCCCTCCATTCCAATCCTAAATTTCTAAATTCTAAAACAACCTTATTAGATATTATTGTGTCCTCTGGATCTCACAGATGAGGAAACTGAAGCTTCCTGGATAAGTCACTGGGGCTCTAGGGTAAGTTACTTGCCCTGCATTGCAGTGAGTAAGGAGTAGAGCTAACGTTTTAAGTTCAAATATGCTAATGGTTTATCCTATAAGGAGCACGAAGAAGAGGGAGAAAGATGGATAGAGATGTAGGCTGATTTTCTTTGTTGCCAGAGTCGTGTAGGTTCTGATAGGTTTGTTAACATTTGAGGGTAATAATAGTAGAACAAAATACTGATCCAGAACTTTCTAGATGTTGGGTAGGGAAAAAGGAAAAGGGGAACTTGAAAAGAGGAACAGAGAAAACACAGTATAGAAATGGAGAAATGGGAAATAACAGGAAAGTGTAATTTAAAGAGATCACAAAATAAGAGGACTGGAGGAAAAGGATTGGGTAACCTGAGGACTTATACCCCTTCCCTGTCCTGTCCATGGAAAGCAGAAGATTTGCAGATAAAGTAAAAAGAGAATTGCAATTATACTATTTCAAGAGACATGCTTTAGGCAGGTAATAGAAGTTTGTCAAAAATATATCTGAGAAATGAAAATTGAAAATAAAAGTGGAGGGCAGGAATATATCACACAAAGAATATTTCAAGGCAAAAAAAAAAGCACAAAACAAGATCAAGTAGAATTTTTTTATTGTATTTTTAAGAAACAGAGAAATGTTTGGAGGATATCTAACAAAACCCACATGTAGGCAGAGAAGAATGGAAAGCAAGAAGATAAAATCCCCTGGGAAACAAGCAGACATCCTTTCTTTATCAGGCAGCTGGATCACTTCATCCTTCTCTCTTTGCAGATCAAGCTCTTCTGTTTTTGTAGTGTTGAGAAGGGCTGCACATAAGTCTTGGGGTAACAAGTCCTCCTTACAAACAGCTAGCAAGGATTCCAAGAGGAATGTTTTAGACTAGTGCAAAACACATCACATGAAATTTATAAGGTTTCTGGCACTGGAGAATATTGCTGCAAAATAAATGAAGCAAAAGTCAAGGAAAATTTTTAAATATGTGCACATAAAGTAAGAATAATTGAACAGAGACATGCAAATGAAACAGCATAGCATTTGTAATTTGAGCTCGTAGACTCTGCAGATGGTCTGAATTTTAAACCACTTTCTGCTACTCACCATCTGTGTGAATTTGAGCAAGTTATATAACTCCCTTGGCCTTACCTCTCTGGTCCGTAAAATGGGCTGATTAGAATAATACCTACCTCGTGGAATTATTATGCATAATAAATGTTTTAATATTTAAATGTGTCTTAGACATAATAAATGCTATATGTAGTTGCTAAAAAATATACATTATGGTATAAAATCAGTGCCATTCCATATTTGAACTCCCAAGGGATTATTTTTGAATTGGTAAACTGATTCAAAAGCTTCTTTAGAAGAGTAAATAGGTCAGGCACAGTGACTCATGCCTGTAATCCCAGCACTTTGCGGGGCTGAGACAAGCAGATCATTTGAGATCAAGAGTTCCAGACCAGCTTGACAATCATGGTGAAACCCCATCTCTACTACAAATACAAAAAAATTAGCTGGGCATGGTGGCAGGCACCTGTAATCCCAGCTACTCTGGAGGCTGAGGCAGGAGAATCTCTTGAACCTGGGAGGCAGATGTTCCAGTGAGCCGAGATTGCACCACTGCACTCCGGCCTAGGCGACAGAGTGAGACTACATCTCAAAAAAATAAAAAATAAAAAAGAAAAGAAAAAGTAAATAAATATAGAAAATATTTTTAAAAAGAACAACAAGAGGGAGCTTGCTCTGTTATAGTGTCACAGAGATTGCAGTGTGGTATATTGAAGGAAATATATTGAAAACAGAATTTAGAATCAAAAGTCAAAGTTGACTAGGGCCAGAACTCATAAGCTCTAACCTAGGTACAAAGTTCTAGGAAACAAGTTACTGAAAAAAATTTCTAAATTGTATTCTCTGGCACAAAATGTTGGTGATATTATTAAATGTATTAAACGTGATAATTTTGTGTTTTCTGCAGAAAATACAGCCATCCAACCTACAACCTTTTCTGTAGACATACAGAAACAATCAGAAGTCTTTTTTTAAAGTTTGACAGTCAGTCTCATGGATTCATGAGTTCAGCCTATTTCCACAGACTGCTTGCTGAGCAACTTCTGGATCTCATATAATTAGAAAAAGGATAAATATAATTGAATAAATATTAAGAGAATGGGAAATGGGTAAGGAAGATTTCATTTAGTTATCATGGTCCATGGGACACAGATAAGAGGTTGATTTAAGAATTGCATGCATTTATTGTTTCCCTTTCAGCTGTGTGTTTAGGAAGTAATTACAGAACAGAAGAATTTAACACACTTACTGGCTGTAAGCAGAAAGACAGTAGTCTTTCCCACTGTCTTGTTCAGCCAAAGATAAAATCCATGAATTATAAGAATTTTGGAATAGACTTGCCTTCTACTTACACAAGATGCTCAAAAATAGACAGAATGGCAGCTATTACCAGTTAAAAATGTTTCTCTAACAATGCTGGAAAGTAGAATATACTAAAGTTCAGTAGTTACTGGTGGAGAAAGTAGTTTGTTTCATGGGAACTGTTGCAGAAATGACAAACCTGCAGGCCTTGGGAGCATAGATAATTGTTATGTGACATTTCTGTAAAGATTCTCCTGTTTTCACTTTCATGAAAGATGCTACAGTTAGTATTCACACAATGAAACTGAGATGCAGATGAAAACTCAGTTTCCTTTGTTAACCTGAAAAAAATTACATTGCTTTACTGCTGTATTTCTGGATTCAGGTTTTAAGAAGATGTAGAAGGTTTTGAAGTAGTTTCTAACCCAATTTGTATGTATTTACTTGTCATTAAAAATATATATATATATAACTTATATAGATATATTTATAAATATAGATATAAAAATTTAAATATATTTATATATAAATATATAATATATAAATATTATATATTTTAATATATAATATATAAATATACTTTAAATTTATATATCTATATTTGTAAATATATATGTTATATATATTTATGTATTTTCCACTTTGCTCCACTTTACTCTTCTCTGGGTTGGCTTCTTATCTCTGTTTAAATCATTTGTGTTGGGGTCAACTATCCCATTAGGGCCTTATATGAAAAGACCGATTGAGAAAGGCTAGATTCTCCTTGGTTTGATAGCTCCTAATGTTTTGATGTGTCCAGCCAACCATCTGCAACTACAAACTCCCTCCCGAGTAACAAGCAGGAGACAAAGAAATGGAAAACAGCAAAGAAATCACCATGTGAGCAGAAGATATTTTGGCAGCCTAGCTGAACTGAAACCAAATTCTCCTCAGAAATCAGTATAAAACAGAACTATTCACAATGAACATGAAATTAAAAGCATGATGTAGTTGTGACCCAAAAGGAATGTGAATTCTTCTCCAGAACATGCAGAGACCCATGGATAAACTGTGTTTCTAGATTTTTCCTCCAACTTTCCTGAGAGTAAGTTAGCCTCTGAAACTGTGGTTATTTTGCATGTAGAAATATAACATAAGACTATAAATAGGAATGCCAGACATTCAGGTAGAAACCATCAAATGCAGTAAGTTATTAATGAGTCATTTTGACTTTTCAAATAATTTATTTTATTTTATATGACTAAATAACCAATTAAAGAACTAAGAATTTGTATTTTTACCCCATACATAAAACATATTTGGACAAATAGCATACATTATCTAAAAGACTATTGAATAAATCCAAGAAATGTAACGTTATGTTGCTTCTTTACAGTTATGAATTGTTTCCAAAGTTATTTGAATTACTTACTCTTCTTTGTTCATTTTTAATTTTACTGCCAGAGGAATTGTAAGCATTGCAGGATGCACAATTTTCTGAGTTTTGAATTGTTTTTAACTGGCTTGAGAATATTTTCATCAAGAAAACTTAGGGAAATATTTTTATTGATCTTGTTTATTATACTAACTATATAAAAATTTTGATCTAATTTGTTGCCCAGTGTAACAAATTAGAAAAATTTGTTCTGTGAATAACAGGAATTTTATCTGACCAGGAAATGATTGACTTTTTATAACCAATTTTTAAGTTCTAAATTATACAATTTCCTATTTAGAACAATTTAAGCTAAGTTTTGTGTTATTATGGTGGGTGGTATATTTTTTCTCTGATATTTACACCAAAGCATTCAGTAGGGAAAAAAATCAGTTTTAATGCTCAGAGACAAATAACCACATTCATGACAATGAGATTATGTAATTGTTTTTATTCATAAATATTTTCTAGCACATCATTAACTCACAGAAAGAAAGAAGAGTAGTCAAGGAGTTTGATCACAGCATTGATTCTTAGTTGGAAATGTTGCAGTTTGGTTGAGTCAGGATTTCCAGGCTATCACAGCCTGCTCTGATGGCATAATTATCAGGAGCTCATCTGCATCACTGGTGAATCTCTTTGGTCACTTTTGCACAGTTTTTAAATGTAAGTCCATGCCCTCCTTTGTTCTGCTGATGAGGCGTGTCATAAAAGGAATATCGAGCAATGTCTTCCTGTCTTGTCCTCAGGTCTCAGGCTCTTGGACTCCTTCCCTCCACTCTGCCCCCACATTAACATTCTATTGCTGCTGTAAAAAAAAACAAAAACAAACAAACAAAAAACAAACAAACAAAAAAAAAAAAACACCACAAACTTAATAATGATTTAGAACAAAACAGAGTTATCATCTTACAGCTTTGGAAGTCAGAAGTGTGATGCAGGTCTCACTGGGTTAACATCAAGGGGTCGGCCAGGCTGTGTCTCTTTCTGGAGGCTGTAGGGGAGAATCTGTTTTCTTACCCTGTATAGCTTCTAGAGGCTTCTTGTATTCTTTGGTTCATGGTCTTCTTCCTCCATCTTCACAACCAGCAGCAGCAGATTGAATCCTTCTTCCACCACCTTACTCTAATCTCTCTGTCTGCCTTCCTGTTTTACTTTTTAGGACCCTTGAGATTACAAGTGGTCTGCCCAGATAATCCAGGATGATCTCCCTATTTCAAACTCAGCTGATTAGCAAACTTAATTCCATCTACTGCCTTGATTCCCCTTTGTTATGTACTGTAACATAGTCACAAATTCCAGGATTAGAATGGGACCTTATTCTGCCTATCACATTCATTTCAACTCTGCCTTGTGATATGGTTTTGCTCCGTCCCCACCCCCTTCTCATCTTGAATTCTAATTCCCATAATCCCCATGTGACATGGGAGGGACCCAGGAGGAGGTAGCTCAATCATGGAGGCAGGTTGATAGTGAACAAGTTTCATGAGATCTGATGGTATTATAAAGGGGGGTTCCCCTACACAAGTTCTCTTGCCTGCTGCCATGTAAAACATTAACTTTGCTCCTCATTTGCCTTCAGCTATGATTGTGTGGCCTCCCCAGCCATGTAGAACTGTGAGTCAATTAAATCTCTTTCCTTTATGAATTACCCAGTCTCAGGTATGTGCTTTTTTATTTTATTTATTTATTTTTTTGAGACAGAGTCTTGCACTGTTGCCTGGGCTGGAGTACAGTGGAGTGATCTTGGCTCACTGCAACCTCTGCCTCCTGGGCTCAAGTGATTCTTCTGCCTCAGCCTCCCAGGTAGCTAATTTTTTGTATTTTTAGTAGAGACGGGGTTTCACCATGTTGGCCAGGCTGGTCTTGAACTCCTGGCCTTGTGATTCGCCTGCCTTGGCCTCTCAAAGTGCTGGGATTACAAGTGTGAGCTGCTCGCCCTCAGGTATGTCTTTATTAGCAATGTGAGAACAGTCTAATACACCTTGGCTTTCAAACTTCAGTAACAGCACAATATTCCCTGCAATAGACCATAGATAGGCTCCATCTCCGGCACTACCCCCTTGGGGATGACTTGAATTAATTATCTTCCCACTTGAGCTGTCTCTTGAATACCAGAAGGGGTCAGCATATTTGCTCCTATCACAATTATGGTAGGATGGACCATGAACCTAGGATCCAGGAGCACCCTCATCAGTAAACCCATTGAAAGGACAATAGAAACCTTATGATTGCCACCGCTGTTCAATATAGCACCAAAAGAGGATACCATTGACGTGAAACACACAGGTCTTGTTAGTCAACTGGCCTTGTGCTCCATTGTATCAACTCTTGAACTACTACTACCTTTGAATCAATTTTTGGGTGAGTTTCCCATCCTAGAATATTGGGTTCTGTGAGCTAAGATTAGGTCTTATATTTTCTTTATCAGTTAAAACAGTTCATGGTGATAAAAGCTCTATAACTTTCAGAGCATTTTTGTTATTCTGCCTTATATATACACCATTATGTAAAAAGTTGTCGTATTTGCATTTAACCTACCTATACTATCCCGTGTACTTTAAATCATCTCTAGCTTATTTACAATACCTAATGCAATGTAAATTCTAAGTAATTGTTATACTTTATTGTTTCAGGAATAATGACAAGAAAAACAAAACTTCTACATGTTCGGTATAAACCCAGCCATCCTTTTTTTCCGAGTATTTTCTACTGGCAGTTGGTTGAATCCACAAGTGCAGAACCCACAAACGCAAATAGCTGGCTATAGCTTTTGAGCTGTGCTAACATGTAAGAGTATAAATAATTAGATTATACCCACACTACCACACTGAAATTGTCATATCTGAAATAAGTTACCTTCACTATGTTGTAGTAGGTACAGACATACCTGTACCTACTACAGACGTGTCCTGAATTCTTTGTTCTCTGCAAACAATTCTATAAAGACTTATTGGCCGGGGGCGGTGGCTCACGCCTGTAATCCCAGCTCTTTGGGAGGCCGAGGCGGGTGGATCACGAGATCAAGAGATGGAGACCATCCTGGTCAACAGGGTGAAACCCTGTCTCTACTAAAAACACAAAAATTAGCTGGGCATGGTGGTGCACACCTGTAGTCCCAGCTACTCGGGAGGCTGAAGCAGGAGAATTGCTTGAACCCAGGAGACGGAGGTTCCAGTAAGCCGAGATCGCGCCATTGCACTCCAGCCTGGGTAACGAGAGAAACTCCGTCTCAAAAAAAAAAAAATCTTATTAAAGCCTTGGCCCATGTTTTAGAAAGTGAAAGTCTGGCTGACTAGGGGATCTGTGTGCAAGCCTGAAGGCTAATCTCTCTCTCTGTAAGCCTGGGCCCTTGTGTGGATTACCCTTAAGGCCAAGGCTGAGCCCATAAGCAGGCAGGCATGGGTGATTGTCTCTCACTGAAAATGGCAGAGCGCCATTGGCTCCTACAAATAATTATCCCTATATTGATTTCAATAATGTAATATTAGAATAAGGTAGAATAAGGTATCTGTTTAAGTACCTGCAAGCTCTGTCATATCATTACTGTCCTTCATTTCACTTATAGATAAGCATACATGAACATTATATATGAATGTAATATATATATCATATATGTGGCATTTATATACGTATATACACATAAGTATACACAATTGAATACATTGCTAATATTTTCGATTATGTTACAGATTAATTA